TTAGTGTGTTTCAATGCTCATTTAAAAAAATAATAACAATAAAATTAATAATACCTGATGATTCCGGATTGGTAACCCCAAACTAGACTTGAATTTGCCCACCATGCTCGACCTCGACCTAATACCCCTGAGTTGATCTTAGTGTGTTACGCCGCTTTGAGGTTGGGGTTATCTCTAATCCGACCCTGCCCACCGACTTAATTTCCAAAAAAATAGACCCCACCTAAGTCTACTCCATTCCTGATTAGAAATTTAACAGTATACTTCTAATCAAACTCCAACACCTAATCCTAAGAGGAAAATGACTCTTTCAATAATAGAATCCTTCTACAACTCCCCCACCAACACCTATAAATACTTGGACAAGGCTCAACATCAAAGTACGTTTTCATTATCTTCAGTTTATAGTCTCACGCACTAAATTCCCTATCTGACTTAAGCATCGGATGGGCGACGAGCACACACCTCGTTGCCTTTGTTGCAGGTATTCACAGACCGATTGTGTTCATCAAAGTGAAGTTGGACCATCAAGCTCATCAAAGTGAAGTTGGACCATCAAGCTCGAGATCTTTCAGGTGATATTTTTTGGTAGCATCATTGGCGCCGTCTGTGGGAACCGCTACCAAAGCCATGGTGAATACACGATCAGGTCTTCCTCCAGCAAGCTCATCCACTTCAAATCCTCCCCCTGGAGATCATCCTGTCCCTCAAGAGGAATCATCAGAGATGGCAGCACCGCCATCGGCTGTCATTACCATCGGAGCTTTTGAAGAGCTCCACCAACAAGTTACCACATTGACTCAGTTATTAAGCCAAAGAAACTCACACCCATCGCATACACCAACACCGGATGGCAATCTTATGGTAGCTGCTCGAGCTCGAGCTCCACGAAACATCCCCGATAATGGTGTTGGAACCTCGGGTGTGCCTCCTATGACCGCAGCATCAATGGTAGTAACGATAGAGTCAGGGGAGCTTGCCAGAATCATCCAAGAAGGTATTGCCGCGGGCCTAGCACAGAAATCAAAGGGGACAGCAGGCTTTACCCCTAGCACTCCCTTTACTCCTGAAGTACTGTCCTACCCCCTTCCGGATAGGTTCAAGTATCCTAGGATAAAGGAATATGATGGGACCACTGACCCTATCAACCACCTCAATATATATACTGACATCATGAACCTACAGGTCGCACCTGACGCTGTAATGTGCAAAGCCTTCCCTCAAACTCTTACAAGCGCAGCTAGAGATTGGTTCTACACATTAGAGCCAAACTCTATCGCTTTATTCGCAGACTTGGCCGATAAATTCTCCGCTTTCTTTGCAAGCAGCAAGCGAATTAGGAAAACAGCGGCATCACTTATGCAGATGCGCCAGGGACCTAATGAAATATTACGCAATTTCATGACCAGATTCAATAAAGAAAGACTTCAGATTCCCGATCTACATATTACAGCTGCGGTCTCAGCTTTGACATACGCTATAAGATGCGAAGCATTCAAGATGTCTTTGTCAAAAACCCCTCCAAAGTCAATAACTGACCTCCTAACTCGAGCTGAGAAATACATCAATATGGAAGAAACTCTAACCCCAAGAAAGGACGTTTCACCTTTACTAAGGCCAGACAATAAGAGATCGCGTGAACCCAATCAACGAGACGACAATCCTCGGGTCAAGCAAAGACAAAACCCCCCGATTGGAAACTTTTACTCCCTTGAATACATCAAGGTCCAACATCCTGATGGAGATCAAGGACCTCAAAGAGCTTAAGTGGCCTCCGAGAATGCGATCATTACCTGAAAACAGAGACAGAACCAAGTACTGTGACTTCCACCGGGACCACGGACATACCATTGAGGGATGTTTGGCTCTGAAGCAACAAATTGAGGCCTTCATCAGGAGGGGTTTTTTGGGCTCTTACACTAGCCATGAAAAACACCCGAGGAACAAGAAGAGTAACATACATGAAGGGCGTGGTAGTGAACCACCAACGGCAGGCACTATTAACGTTATTATCGGAGGAACGACTTCAGGAAGAGACACCAACAGTGGACGGAAGAAGTATGCCAAACAGCTTCCAGTCTCTTCCAACACGGATCTTGCTCATACGGAAGATATCACCTTCGGGTCCAAGGATTTGGAAGGAATATCCTTCTCCCATGATGACGCCCTAGTCATATCAGCTATCATAGCTAACTTCGAGGTCAAGAGAATTCTTGTGGATAATGGAAGTGCAGCTAATGTACTGTCTCATGAAGCTTTAGTTCAGATGGGTATCTCAGTGGAACAACTCAAGCCTGTTAAAACACCCCTCCAAGGATTTGGTGGCGGGGTCATCACCCCTGAAGGTATTGTTGGATTACCCATGACTTTGGGATCTGAAGGTCGGCAGGTAACCCATATCGTAACTTTCGAAGTTGTCCGAACTTCGATGGCCTACAACGCCATTCTGGGAAGACCATTGCTAAATAAAATCAAAGCTGTTATCTCAACTTTTCACCTGGCGATGAAGTTCCCCACATATAGTGGAGTTGGAGTCGTCCGAGGAAGCCAAACCATGGCACGCCAGTGCTATGTGACTAGTGTCCGAAAAATAAAGAGCGATGTCATGCAGCTTTTAGAGCTCGAGCTCGAGCTTGAAAATCGTGGGAGACTCGCCCCGATAGAGGAGCTGGTTGAGGTCGAGCTCGAGCCTGGTAGGAAGGTGACAGTAGGGCGTGACCTTGATTCAACCATCATGGCTAAACTCATAAGTTGTCTCTCCCAAAACCAAGACGTATTCGCATGGATAGTTGAAGACATGCCCGGAATTGACCCCGAGGTTGCCGTGCACAGGCTCAATGTAAACCCGAGAGCCAAACCTGTCAAACAAAGGAAAAGACAGTTTGCACCCGAACGGCGTGAAGTCATACGAGAAGAGATTGCCAAGCTGCTCAATACACAATTCATCCGAGAAGTGCAATATCCTGACTGGCTCGCCAATGTAGTTCTATTAAAAAAGGCCAATGGAAAGTGGTGAGTTTGCATTGACTTCATTGATTTGAACAAAGCATGTCCGAAAGATAGCTATCCCCTCCGCCGGATTGACAGTCTCGTTGACAGCACTTCGGGTCACAAATTGTATAGCTTTTTGGACGCATTCTCAGGGTACCACCAAATACCAATGGTCACAGAAGATCAAGAGAAGACCTCATTTATGGCAGATTCCGCCATCTATTGTTATAAGGCCATGCCATTCGGCTTAAAGAACGCAGGGGCTACATATCAGAGGCTAATCAACAAGGTCTTTGCTGATTTAATTGGAAAAACCATTGAGGCTTACGTAGATGACATGGTGGTCAAAAGTAAACAGGTGGATGATCATATCACCGATCTTGAAAAAGTGTTTTCCACGCTACGGAAATACAACATGAAGCTCAACCCAACAAAATGTGCCTTTTGGGTAGCATCAGGAAAGTTTCTAGGTTTCATGATCACAAATAGAGGAATAGAAGCCAACCCTGACAAGATCCAAGCCCTAGTATCTATGGACGCCCCAAAGAGCAAAAAGGACATCCAAAAGCTTACAGGTCGGGTAGCAGCATTGAACAGATTTATCTCTCGGGTAGCGGATAGATGTTTCCCCTTTTTCAAAGTTCTAAGAGGCCACAAGAGTTTTGAATGGAATGATGAATGTAATCTAGCCTTCCAACAACTTAAGCAAACTTTAGCTGTACCTCTGGTTCTTGCCAAACCAGAGCCTGGTGATACTTTGTTCCTTTACTTGGCTGTTTCTCAAAATGCCGTAAGTGGGGTACTAGTAAAGGAAAAAGGAAAGGTGCAACAACCCATCTACTATGTCAGTAAAGTACTTCTTGACATCGAGACTCGATATAACCTTGCGGATTAGTTAGCTCTTGCCTTGATAGTAACTGCCAGAAAGTTGCGGCAATATTTCCAATCTCACCCCATAATAGTTCTCACCAATCAACCACTCAAGCACATAATTCAGAGGCCAGATGTCTCAGGAAGGCTATTAAAATGGCCAATTGAGCTTGGCGAGTTTGAGATAGAATTCAAGCCTCAACCTTCCATCAAAGCGCAGACACTTGCCGACTTCATAGCTGAACTCACTCCAAAGACAGAAAGGCCCGAAGTAAAAAACCCGAGCACGACCTCAAAAACCTGGGAGATATTTGTTGATGGGACGTCGAACAGCTCAGGCTCGGGAGCCGGGATAATTATCATCAGCCCGAACAAGACCACCGAAGTTCAATGTGCGCTTAGGTTTGAGTTTGAAGCAACCAACAACGAAGCGGAATATGAAGCTGTGGTCATTGTTGGACAGATCGAAGGGTCCTTTGAAAGAAAAGATGAAAAGATGAGCTTGTACTGTCTAAAAGTGCATGGCCTTCAAAGACAGTTCACAAGTTGTGACATATTGAAAAGAGCAAGAGCGGATAACTCCAAAGCTGACGCACTATCCAGACTTGTTTTCATGAGGATAGATGAACTCGACAGAACAGTGCACATCAAGATTGTCACAGAGCCTAGCATAAACACGAAGCCGAGCGTCATGGACATTGACCATGAGCCTTCTTGGATTGATCCAATAGTTGAGTATATAAGTAATGGAGACCTACCTCTTTACCCTCGCGCCGCAAGAAGTATTCGGGCCAAAGCTACTAGGTATTGCATTATCAGAGGGGTACTGTTTCGACGAAGACTCACACTCCCCTATCTGAGATGCCTCAAGCCTTCTGAGTCTCTCCAAGCCCTGATTGAGGTTCACGAGGGAATATGAGAAAATCACCAGGGAGCCAGGGCCCTTGCCTACAAATTAATAAGGTATGGGTACTACTGGCCAACTATAAAAAAAAAAAGATGTAGCTGAATATGTCAAAAGATGCGACAAGTGTCAGAGGTTTGGTAATGCTATACATGTCCCTGCAGAAGAGTTGACTTCTATCCATTATTCAGCACCATTTGAATAATGGGGAGTTGACATCCTTGGGCCTTTCCCCATGGCCCGAGGACAATTAAAATTTACTGTGGTAGCAGTTGAGTACTTCACAAAGTGGGTAGAAGACGAACCCCTAGCAAAAATATCAGAGGCCAAGCTCAGATCATTTATATGGAAGTCGATTATATGTAGGTTTGGAATACCCAAAGTACTTATAATAGACAATGGAAGGCAGTTCGACAATTCACAATTCAGAAACTTCTGTGTCAATCACGGTATCGACCATTGTCTGACGTCAGTATCGTACCCTCAAAGCAATGGCCTCGCTGAGGTGACAATTAGGATCATACTTCAGGACCTTCGTACCAGGATCGAAAACGCAAGAGGTGACTGGCCCGATGAGTTGCCCTCTATACTGTGGGCTTATAGAACTTCTCATAAAACAGCAACAGGCGAGACTCCTTTCATGTTAGCTTTCGGCTTAGAGGTCACCATCCCCATCGAAGTCAGTCTTCCCACTCTAAGGAGGGTTGAACCTGGCATGGAAGACCGAACAACCGAACATCTTGACTTACTTGAAGAAGTAAGAGAGCAAGCTTCACTGAGAGCTGCTAGTTACCAAAATAGAATGGCAAAGTACTTTAACACCAAAGTCAGGTCCCGAGAATTTAAGAGTGGCGATTTGGTTCTAAGAAGAGCAGAGGCAGCTGGACACCCTCCAAGTAAACTTGGACCAGTATGGGAAGGGCCATTCGAAGTCATACGAAGGATCAAAGGGAGACATACAGCCTTAGAGATACTTCAGGAAATCCACTCCCGAGACCTTGGAATGTGGATAACCTAAAAATATATTACAAGTAGAATAGCAATAGCGTCACACAAGGGCTTGCACGCCCGCCTTATTTTTATTTTTAGTAGCTCGAGTCTATGAACCCTTGAACATTTTTTCCCTTCAAGTAGCTCAGGGCTATGAACCCTTGAGCATTTTTTGCTTTCAAGTAGCTCGGGCTAAGTACCCTTGAGCACCTAATAATATTCAAAGTTTTCTTTTCCTAGCACTACTTAAACCTTGGCGTAACAATGTGCTTCGGGCATGCAGCCAACTCTTCAACATTAGTGTAATGACGTGCTACGGGCATGCAACTAATAAACTTTGGCATAATGACATGCTTCAGGCATGCAGCCACTTTAACATTAGTGTAATGACGTGCTACAGGCATGCAACTAATACCTTTGGCATAATGACGTGCTTCGGGCATGCAGCAACTTTAACATTAGTGTAATGACGCGCTACAGGCATGCAACTAATAACTCTGACATAATGACGTGCTTCGGGCATGCAGCAACTTTAACATTAGTGTAATGACGCGCTACAGACATGCAACTAATAACTCTGACATAATGACATGCGGGCATGCAGCCAACTCATCAACATTAACGACGTGCTATAGGCATGCAGCATAATACAACCCGAGGTCATAAACCCCGAACTATTTTGTATCTAAAATTAATAAAGGAAATGTTGATCGAATTGAGCCCCGTGTCTTCCACACAAGACACCCCGAGCTAAAAAAGGCCCAAGTTATAGCAACTAAAAAGCTCGAACTCATCATCTGGTTCGACCTGCGGGCCCAATGACAACATCAAGAATCGAGCTCGTGCATGCCTGATGTTTACCACCAAAGCGTTGATCGAGTCCAAAAGCGTTGTGTTTGTGTTGTGCATTGAAAACAAACAGAACACATGTGCACGAACATTCATTGATTAAATGAAAAACAAGTAGTGTGTACGAACATTCATTGATTAAATGAAAAACAAGTAGTATGCACAAACATTCATCAATTAAATTAAAAACAAAGTAATGTGCGCGAACATTGGTCGATGAAATTAATAACAAAAGTATCAGCCCAGTTCGGGCAATATTACAAAAATTTTTAAAACAAAGTTAAAAACCTAATCGATATCTACAACCCTGACATCATCCCCTTGATCGCCAGTCCCGGCGTTATCTCCATCACCACCATCATCATCTTCATCATCGTCCTCGACCTCAGAAGTCGAAAGTTCGAGCTCCCCTGCGAGCTCGTTCACTGTCTTCAAGTCCTCGACAAGGGACTTTAAATCCTCGGGCATCTTCGTGCGAAGATAAGAACGGGCAAGGCGAAGCCCGTAATGGCGAAGCCCGTAATGGTAAGAGCCCGACCCGTACTATTCCAACAGGGTCCCAAACTCGTCGGACTTCTTGAAGTCTTCAACAGCCTGAGCTCGAGCCTCATCACGAGCCTTTGCCAGCTCTTCCCCAAAGCTCCTCTGGGACTGGAGAAGCTCGAGCTTAACTTCCTCGACCTCAGCCTTGGATGTCTCTAGTTCCTCTCGGGACTTCTTGAGGTCAGCCTCAGTAGTCTTGAGAGCTTTTTCCAGGTCATGAGCTCGCTTTTCAGCTCGCTCTTTTTCCTTTAAAACCTTGTCCATTTCGTTCTAGATGTTGATACCATTCAAAGTAAGACCTCGCGCCACACTTAGCGTCTGCACAAAGAAGGAAAGGAAGTCCAAAGTCAGTTCGATCAAAGAAGATTAAAACATAAGAAATACAATTTAAGGTCGGTATCTTACCCTTAAGGTCAAAGCCTCCAGTGTCTTGACCCCTTCATTGATGTTGACCTCCTTCTCGAACCTTTCGACAAGGTCCTTCACCAGGGCACACTCCATGTATTCCTCGAGGGCACTATCTGAAATAGGCTCGAAGCCTGAATTCGCGACACCATAACAGCCCCGAGCTCGATCTTCATATTTCGACTTCGTATGAGGCATTGAGGTCGGGCTCCTTGACGTCGAGGGTTGACCCCTAGGAGGCACCGGGCTCTCAAGATGCACTTCAGGCACCCTAACATCGGCGTGCCTGGCCCTCTTCTTTCCCTTTTTTGAGGCCGGGGCTTCGGACATCGGCCCCTTGGCCTTATGGTGGACATTGGCCAGCAATTTGGAAGGATCAAAAAACATCTCTAGATCTGCAAGAAACAAATCACAAGGCATTAGCATGATCTCGACGTCAAGAATACGATGATAGAGCTTAAAAGTAAAAGAATACCCTCGAGGCCTTTTACATTTGCAAGGTCGAGGGTGTCATCCTCGAGCAAATAATCGATCTTCTCTGCAAAGGGGTCGTGGTTAACTAACCTTAATATGTCCCTCTCTAGAACCTCAAAATACGCCTGACCCTCATCAAACCTATCCTTACTAGGGATCTCCCACCTCGGGCTAAAAGGATGGTCGGGATCCTGGGGCTTTACAAAGAAAAATCTCTCTTTCCAACCTCGAAGAGAGCTCGGGGTATCAGGCGTTCTAAACCCCCCCCTTGGTTGACAAATACACAAAGTAGTTGAACCCCGGCGAGTACTTCATATCATACACCATCCTCAGAAGGTCGACCCTAGGCTCGATATCGAGGTATCTACATAATATAAAGAAATAGACCAACAGCCTCCAACCATTAGGAGCCAACTGGCCCGGACACATATAGAACGAAGTTAAAAAGTGGATAAAAAAGGGGTGAAGAGGCCACCGTATCCCAGCCTTAAGGGCATCCCTAAAAAACGTCATCTTCCCCTCTCGAGCTCCTAAGATATCTTCGGTACTCACAGGAACCCTAACATCACAAATGGACATCACCCCGAACTCTCTAGTTATCTTAATAATTACATGTTCTTTATAAGTGATCGGGTTCTTTGGATAAGTCAATACCTCTCCTGGAGAGTGCGAGCTAACAGGAAAGGCCAGGGTGACAAGATCTCGACCTTGATCACCCTGAGTCTCGACAGCTATACTAGGGGCAGTAGGGTTCTCACTATCCCCCGAACTCTTAGAAAGCCTACTGCTGTCACTGTTACTCGACCCCTTACTGCTACTACTACTACCACTATTGCTACTGCTCGACATTACTCTACTCAAATAATTAACAACTTAAAGGCTCGATCTCTTACCTTAATGGAGATCGTTCACAACCCACTATCCCCGAACTCGAGCTTCTTTTACAAAGAGTGGAGAGTAAAAAGTGAAAAAGTGAAAATGAATAGTGGGGTATTTATAGGGGTCATGGGCATACCAACAGTCACTTAATCTAAAACCCTTAAAACAGGACACGTGGCAAAGACCCAAGTTCGAGCTCTGACAACCAGCCACATGACAGACACGTGACATAGTATATCTCCAACAGGTAAATGACAAGTGTCGAGGTCGATATCAAGCCACGACATCCTTTTTGCATCTCAATCCAAGATCGTATACCCTGCACGATCTACAACTCAGATGCACGGGGGCCTATGATGATTCCGGATTGGTAACCCCGAACTAGACTTGAATTTTCCCACCATGCTCGACCTCGACCTAATACCCTCGAGTTGATCTCAGTGTGTTACGCCGCTTTGAGGTCGGGGTTATCTCTAATCCGACCCTGCCCACCGACTTAATCTCCAAAAAAATAGACCCCACCTAAGTCTACTCCATCCCTGATTAGAACTCTAACAGTACACTTCTAATCAAACTCCAACACTTAATCCTAAGGGGAAAAGGACTCTTTCAATAATAGAATCCTTCTACAGCTTCCCCACCAACACCTATAAATACTTGGCCAAGGCTCAACATCAAGGTACATTTTCATTATCTTTAGTTTATAGCCTCACATACTAAATTTCCTATCTGACTTAAGTATCGAAGGGGCGACGAGCACACACCTCATTGCCTTTGTTGCAGGTATTCATAGACCGATTGTGTTCATCAAAGTGAAGTTGGACCATCAAGCTCGAGATCTTTCAGGTGATATTTTTTGGTAGCATCAATACCTATTTTTTTTTTTTTTTTAATTTGGAAATCTAAAACAAAGTTCCTAACAATCCAACCCATCACGACCGAGGCAAGCCGAGGGCCACTAGGGCTAGAGGTAGGCCCTAAGAACGACCTAGAGTGGGTCCAAAGCCAATAACTTGACTATATTTTTTTTCGAGGATAAGTCGTCACTTGAATAGTGCTATTTAGAACGAGTTTAGGTAACATTAAATTTTATCTAAATTTGTTCGATGAATTGAAATGCATCTTTACTTCAATAAATAAGTCTAAATGAATCATTAACACTTAAATTGATATTAAGCATCAATGATGTCAGGGAGATGAACGGCCTCGGGCCTCCCTCTCGACGGTTGGATTTCTTAGTAGACGGCAAGTTATGGTTGCATCGTTGCATTCAACTCCTGCACTATTCATGTTTGTTTACCAACAATTCTTGCCTTCCTCCCTCAACCAAAATAAAGTCAAAGAACAATTTGCTTAAAAATTAATTAAGGAAACTGATTGGTGGTTTTCTTAATAATTAATGGACTGTAGCATTGGGCTTTTACCATTTGTGTGTGCATGTTGTTGGGTTGTGTGCCAATATAATATATATTTTATTATGATAAAATAATAATTTATAATAAATAAATTTTATTTTATTTATTTATTACATTTATATATTGTTGAACATGCGAATTAAAGTGCCTATGATCACTTGTGAAAATATAACTTAGGTACTAGTGTTAAGAAGTACAGTAACACAACTTATATTTTAATCATAAGTAAAATTTTTACAACTATTGTATAAAGGTTGACACCTTGTATCGGAAGGTTGTAGTGTTATCGATTCACTATTCAGATTAGTGATTTTCTTTATAACAGAAATAGGTAAATGTGACATTAGTATACTTGGAGTGTATTGAATGGACTAATGTTGCGTTTAATTCTATATTATGATCGTACAGAGAATTAAATTCTACTTGACTACTGTTTATTTCATCTAAATCCCTTGATAGAATT